GTACCACTCACATTACATCCTTTGTGACAGGGAATGAATGAACCCTATGTAACTTGGGAAGCAGCAGATAGGGTGCTTTGTGGTAGGGGAGAACGGGGTGGGAGTTGGGGGGAAATTCATTCATTCATTCATTTGACTTTTTAGTTGACCATCTATTTGATGGCAGGCATGAGCTGGGTACTGGGTCTGCAAGAATGAACAAGACCAAGTCATCCTGCTGTCATGGCAACTGCCCATCAGGGGCATCAGGACTTATCAGAGTGAGCAGGCTGGGGTCAGGGGAGACTTCCTGAAGGAGTTGATGTCTGAGCGGAGTAGGAGTTGTCCAGGTGGAGGTGGGGAGAAGGAGGAAGGGTGGCAGGCAGGAGGAGCCCTGGATGCTAACGCCCAGAGGGGGGAGGAAAAATCTTGGCATGTACAGGAACGGAGAGTTTGCCAATGTGGCTTGAGCTTGGGATGGGGGGAGGTGAGGTGTGATTTTACATGGGATATACTTACACCAAAATATTATCGGTTGTTTATCTGAAATTCAAATTTAACTAGGCACCCTGTATTTTTTGTTTGTTAAATGTGATTGTCATGTTAAGAAGCTGTGATTTACCCTTTGGGGATATTTTGCATTATTTGTTTTCCTTTTGTTGTTTTATAATTGAGAAAAGATGATGGTAAAAGTAGCAAATCAGCTCTACCATCCTTACTTGATCCATACTACATGACAAAACAATCATAGCTACTTTAGCCGGGGCTTGCCAGAGCCTGATTCTGTGTACTCTATCTGCCAGTTTCATCTTAATCAGTCCTCAAAAGAGCCCCATGGGCAGGTGTTGTTATGATTCTCAAATGACTAATGAGGAAAGATGATCAGAGAGGTTAGCTCCCATGCTAGACAACACAGAGGGAGCTGGAGTACAAAATACACCTAGTTCTCAATGGCTCTCCTGTCCCCACTACTGTGTGGTTTTTATATTTCCATACTACCTTCCACCCAAATAAGAGTTTTACAGGGTTGCTATCAGTGTGAACAAAATCTTGAAATCTGCTATTTTTACTTAATATATCGAAAACTTTCCCCTCAAGTTTCAAAGTTTAAATTAAGCTTATTTACTATTGCACTAGAAGCATGCTTGGATTTTATAAAGTGTTTGGCAGGAAATGGGCTTGGGAGTCAGCATGGAGGTGGGGAGACCATGCAAGCCTGCTCAGGACAGAGATGGTGGGGGTCTAGGACCTTTTTTTTTTCTTTCTGATTTTGTTTGTTTGTTTAAAGATTTTATTTTTAAGTAATCTCTACACCCAACATGAGCTCAAACTCACCACCCTGAGATCAAGAGTCCCGTGCTCCATCGACTGAGCCAGTCAGGTGACCCTCTTTCTGATTTTAAAGGGAGTATGTGCTAAGTATGGAAAACTTGGAATGTTCGGGGAAAGTTAAAGAAGCAGGAATAACAAAACCCTAACTGGCAGGATATGAATTGCTACACCATATGGGGGAATACCTGCCAGGACCTTTTCAAACTGAAAATGCCCACTTATCATTTAACCCATAGATTCTATTTCTAGTAAACTATTCTGCACAAGTGAAGGCAGGAGAACGTAAAGATATATATTCAATGACTTTAAAAATTTGTTTTTTTAAAGCACCAAACTGTAAGAATCCTGAATAGCTATTTTTTTAAAAAGATTTTATTTATTTATTTGACACAGAGACACAGCGAGAGAGGGAACACAAGCAGGGGGAGTGGGAGAGGGAGAGGCAGGCCTCCCGCGGAGCAGGGAGCCCGATGCAGGGCTGGATCCCAGGACCCTGGGATCATGACCTGAGCCGAAGGCAGATGCTTAATGACTGAGCCACCCAGGCGCCCCAGCTATGATTTTTTTTTTTTAAGATTTTATTTATTTGAGAGAGCGAAAGATCGAGAGAGAGAGAGAGCACAAGTGGGCGAGGCGGGAAGGGGCAGAGGGAGAGGGAGAAACCGTCTCCCTACTAAGCAGGGATCCGACGTGGGGCTCAATCCCAGGAGCCTAGGATTATGACCTGAGCTGAAGGCAGATGCTTAACCGACTGAGCCATTCAGGCGCCCCCTGAATAACTATGATTAAAGCAAGTGTTTACAGAACCCTGGAATCTGTCAGCTATTAAAAAGTGAATTTATGTGATACTAGAAAGATATCTGTGATAGCTTCTTAGGGACAAAGAGCAAATGTCTTGTAAGTTCTAAAGTGACCTACAGTTTATATAGTATATTATTATTATTATTATTTTTAAAGATTTATTTATTTATTTGTCAGAGAGAGAGCAAGAGAGCACAAGCAGGGGGAGCAGCAGAGGGAGAGGGAGAAGCGACTCCCTGCTGAGCAAAGAGCCCAATGTGGGACTCGATCCTAGGATCCTGGGATCATGACCTCAGTCAAAGGCAGACGCTTAACTGACTGAGCCACCCAGGTGTCCCCTATATAGTATATTATTTTATACTTTCCCCAAAAAAGTAAGGCCTTTTTTGTAACATGTGAACAGATACGTGTTGATGTCAGAGAAAGGAGTGAAAGTACATGTCAACCATTAATGTTACTTCAGAGGACAGATGGGAGTGGGGAGGAAGGAGAATTATTTCAGCTAGAATTATTCCTAGTAGAAATGTTACTTTTCTAATAAAATACTAAAATATACATGTGTATGAAAAAAAATCGCAACCCCTGGAGAGAACCTCTGTAAATAATTTGGTGTATTTTCTTCATTTGCTTCTCCATGGATCAATATTTTGTATTTTGTATGTACTTGCACAGTTTTTTCTCTTAATATCATTTGCACATTTCTAGGTCATAAAACATCTTTGTAAACACTGCTTGTAGAGGATGCTTAACATTTTATCATGTGGGCTGTTTAACCAATCCTATATTGTTAGACATTTATGCTGTGTATGAATTTTTTCATTATTATAAATGACACTGGAAAAATATGATTGCACATTAATTTTCAAATGCAAACGAAACAAGTGACTACTGAGTGCCTATTAAATCTCAGGTGTGCTCTGGGCACTGAGGTTCCAAGCTTATGGTTTGGTTACAAAGACAGATCATCAAGCCTATGGCCTTCAAATGTGGTTAATTTCTTTAAAACAGAATCTGGAAGATAGATTACTACTGCTCCGAGGACGTATTGATCATTGTAAAAGATTTTTATTTTTGACTCGTGCTGTCAAGTTCACGTTCAGAAATTTTGAGGCAATTTGTATACTTCCAACAATATATGAGAGTGATTACCCACCCCTGCCTCGTGTTTGAAGGTTATCGTTTGAAACCAATTCCTGATTTGGTAGAAAACAAAACAACCCCCCCACCCCCAACCCTCAGTATTCTGTAGTTTTAATTGGTATGTCTTTGGTTATTAGAACATTGACATTTTTTCAGTAGTTTCTTTCTTTCTTAAAGATTTTATTTATTTACTTGAGACAGAGAGGGAGAGAGAGAGAGCACAAGTGGTGGAGAGGGACAGAGGGAGAGAAGAAGACTCCCCGCTGAGCAGGCCCCTGGGATCATGACCTGAGCCAAAGGCAGACACTTAACCCACTGAGCCACCCAGGTGCCCTAAATAGTTTCTTCAAATAGTTGAGTTCTCTACTAAAGGCTATTCATGGAATATGCTTTTTCTTCCTTACCAATGATTGATATTTCTCTTTTCATTTATATGTTCTTACCATTTCTAGGATCTGTTTCTAGGCTTCCCCCCCCCCCCCCCCCCCCCCGTTTTTACCACACTGGGTTGACTGCAATAGCTTTATAACGTAAGTATCTGTTAGAGCAAGTCCACCCTCATTTGTGGGAAATGATAGCTTTTGGTTATTTATTCTTGCAGATGAACTCAGAAATTTGTCAAGTCTGGTTAGGATTACATTAATTTTATGCATTACATTCAATATACATTCACATTTAATATACATTAAATTTATACATTAATCTGGAAAGAACGGTCGCATAACCAGCCTTCTGAGGGGGATTATTGAATTGGCTTTCTGTTTTGGCTAGTGCTAGGGCACAACTTCCCTGCATGGCAAGTCTGGGTTCTTCTCAGACTTTGACTGTGGTGTATTCTTTTGTTTGGTGTCCAAAGTAGAAAGACGTCCATTAAGTAACTCCCTAGAGAAGTGGCTACGGCTCAGGGCCAGTTCCAGCCTCTGAGCAGGCCATCTGAACGATTGCCATGAGCCTGGGTCCAGGCGGGCCAGCTTAGGCACAGTCGCTTGACCCCAGGGGCCTGCGAGGGGCTGCGGTCACCGGAAGGGGCTGGCTGAGCACCGCGTGCTCGCGACCTCCGCGCCCTCTGAGCAGGTAAGGCCAGCCCGCAGGGCTGCAGGAGCGGGGACCCGAAGGGGCGCTGGGGTCAGGGGTCAGGGAGTCCCCCTTCCCCTCCGGACCCAAACGGCCCGGGCCTCCTTGGGAGCCCAGATCACACCTCCTGCAGTCCCGGGGCTGCTGCGCCTTTGACGGTGGGGTCCCTGCGGGGGGCGCAGAGCCGGGGTGCGAAGGTGTCCTGGAGGTGGGGCGCACGCAGGTTGCTCAGGGATTCCTGATGGGGGCCTCCGAAGGGTCAGAGTCAGGCTCAAAGGGGGTCAGCTCTGAGTGTGCGGGCTGGGCGTGGGCCTGTGGGGATCCAGAGTCCTCTTCCTGGGGGTGGGTGGGCGGTCCGGGCGTTTCGGTGGTGCTGTCGCGGTCCCGCCCCTGCACCTGGGGTCGGGGTCGGGGTCGGGCGGGGCGCCCACGGTCGGGGTTCCCGGCTCCTCCGCGCACCCCTCCCCCAAGGCGCCGTCCAGCAGGCTTGTCGCCCCGCCCTGCCCAGTGTTCGGACTGCTCACCAGCTCCGCCCCGTCCCTCAGGCCCCGCCCACACCAAGAACCCGCCCCATCCCGCCCCCGGCCCCGCCCCGCCGCTCGCCCATTCAGATGTGGGTCAGGGGTGAGCGGGCGGCACCGACGTCACAAGCTTCCAAGATGGCGCCGGGCGGGCGGCTGTGAGCGGCGCTCGGGGCGCGCTGGGCGGGGAGCCGAGCCGGGCCGGCGGCGGGCGGACGGGGCGGGCGCAGGCGGCGCGAGTCGGGCGCCGAGGACGAGGGGCCGCAGGCAGGGCCGGCCGGCCGGCGGGCGGAGCGCCGCCGCCGACGCACACGAGGTGAGAGGGGGTCGGGGGCAGCGGGGGGCGCGGGCGGGGGCCGTGGGCGGGCGCGCCCCCGGGGAGAGGGGCGTGGGCGGGCGCGCGCCCGCCGGGACTGGGCGGGGGCGCACGCGGGACCCCCGGCCCGACGCAGCCTGCCCCGGCTTTGTGGTCCGGGTGCCCGGTAGGGCGCGGGCGGCGGGGGACACTGGGCACAAAGCCCCGGGGCCGCGCCAGGCCGGGGCGCGGGTCTGCGGAGCGGGGGTCGGCGGGCGAGCGGGCGCCGGCTCTTTGTGCCTTTTCATTAGCAATCTAATCCGAACAGCGTCGGGCGAGCTGCGCTGCCTGACAGGCGGGCGGGCTTCCATTATGCAAACGGCCCAGCGCCCGCGGCCGCCCCTCGTAGGGGGATTTTGCTATTTCCAGAACTGCGGCCCTTCTCTGCCTGCCGGTCCCTTTTTCTTGCCCCCTCCCCGCGGGAAGACCGGCCCGGGCAGGGGCAGGGTTGGCCTTGGAGGGACCGCTCCCAGAGGGCCAGGCCCTACGGCTGGTGGGCTCGCTGCCCTGCCCCCAGACCTCTCCTGTAGGCAGCCACTTGGCAGGAAGAGAGATGGGCTTGGGGGAGGGGGTCGGCTGGCAGGGGGAGGGGACCGGCTGGCAGAGGAAGGGGGCTGAAGGGCCTCAGCTTGTCACTCTCTGTTTATCTACCAAGATGGTTCATATCCACATAGACTTATTTGGTGGGGGGGTGGGGGCTAGGGGGGAGGCGGGGATGCCTTTCCCTGGGGGGCAGTGACTTATGGAGAGGAGGGAGGGAGGTCAGATAATGCGCTCAGCGGCCCCACCCAGAACAGCGTGGGACTGCCTGGGGAAGGGAACCTAGTGCTGATCCGGATGGGTTGGAACGGTTTTGAAGTTATTTATTCGTGTCTTCTATCCCCTCCACCCTCAGTGTCTTTCTTAGTAGGAGTTGCCAAGCACATCTGGAAAGCTAGGTTCCCGCCCCCCCACCCCCCAATAGCAGGAGGGGTGTAACCCAGGGAGGCCACCCCTCTGACATATGTGGTTGGGGGGAGGGGTAGAGCTTTGCCCATAGGAATCCTGTGGCGGTGGATTGTTGACTGATGTGGGGATGGCTGCGCTGGGGGGAGGAGGAGAGCTGGCAGGTAGTGGAGGGGCCTCCAGAGCTTCTAGGCTGAACTTGGGGCTGTTCTCCAGGGACTTTGGATGGAGGGATAGGAGCTAGGTCACCCAAACCCAGGACCTTTCTGGATCTAGCATTTATTGGTTCCTGGCTCCTGGCCTTACTTCTGCCCTTCCATTCCCATCTGCCAACTCTGGACTTGCTGGCCCTTTTAGCAGACGTTTTCAGGAGCACGGGCCATGTGGCTGGTCTGTAGCCCTGGCTCCAGGAGAGAGTGTACACTTAGCAGAGCAGGGTTGCTGGAGTGGTCTGAAAAAAAGCAGATGGGCCGGCCTCAGGCTGGCCTCCAGAGACAAAGCTGTGTGGTGAGATTGCTGGTTAGCCGGCTCTTAGCACCAAGGGGGGGATGGGAAGCTGATACTTGGGGGTTGAACTGAGTCTTTTGGCCCAGGAGTAGGTTGCCTTGCCTTTGAGTGAACCTTTGGTCTTGTGTAGTTGGGCTTATGAAAATCTCTGGGTCCCACGGGAAGGCAGTAGACTCAGAAGGCTGGGAGGGGGCTCCCCACCTGCCTGCCCGCCCGCCTTAGGGGGTCAGAACTCCCAGGTTGATCTGCTTTCCTTTGGCTTCTGGCTTTCTGCAGACCAGTTGTGGGGAGTTGCTGAGTACCTCTTGCCCAGCTTCTCTGGCCGTTTGACTCAGTGTGCTGGTGTGTGCCCAGAATTTCTCTCTGCAGTGTTTTCCTGCCAGTTGTTAGGACTTGTAGATTAGTCACTCAGCTTTTACAAGCGATTCCTGAAAAGAAAAATCACCCTCTGGTTGCTGGCTCTGCATAGAGGAAGAAGCAGCCCGAGGGAGCCAGGCCTTTAATTAAAGCAAAACTGAAATGATTGCTGCAATTGCTGGAAGGAGAGGCAGCAGCGCAGGTGGGGCAGAGGCGCTTCGTCCTGTCCTGCCGGGCAGTACCTGCTCTGGGGACAGGTAGGCAGGATCCCATCCCATCCTCATTCCCTGGTCTTGGCCAGCAGCCCAGGCTTCTCCACAAGCTGCAGTCCTGGATTAATCCTCACGTAGTGTTTTCTTTCCATAGATCAGATTTCTCATTTTGTTAATAAGCACAGCCTCCGATCCACTTGAAGTCAGCTGTCGTGGACTTGGAGCAACAGGGTTTTGCATTATTGAGCTGACAGGCCTGCTGCCTTCCCGGAGTCCTTATTGTGTGTCAGGGTCAGGTCTGGTGGGGGGGGGCTTGGGGGCAGTGCCTATTAATCAGCAGCTAGCCCCCAGAGAAGGGCTGGCTGGGCAGTTCTGGAGAGTCGGAGGAGTGAGGAGGGAATAAAGTTCAGTTTACCCAGGGGACCTGTGGTGTTGCCCTTTTGCTGGCCTGTTGGCCTCAAGCTGTCAGCCCCACCCAATAGCTTGCTAGCCTTGCCCACTGGGGCTGAGGGCCACTGCCCCCAGGACCTGATCACTAAGAGGGTGGGGGCTCTTCCTGTTTCTGGCACCTGGGAGGCAGCTTTCAGCATTGAGAAGAAACAACCAGTCAGGTTCTTGCCCTCCTGGCTCTTGGATCCTGGCTTGGGAGGGACTCCTGGAACTGGACTTAGAAAGTCTGGAGTGCGACATTGGCTCTGCCGTTTACTCTCTGTGTGACCTTGGACAGTGATTGATTCTGAGCCTTAGTGTCCACATGTCTAAAATGGGAGCAAAACTTGAGTTTACATTCATGTATCACTGCCCTCGAGAGCTCAGCCTGGGGCAGACAGACAGGCAAACAAACGATTGTAAGATAGGCTGATAAGGGCTGGCACAGTGCTGTATGCAGTGCAGAGGGCACCGCGGGGCTGGTGGCTGTAGCTGCGAGGCATGGAGGAAGGGGCCGGCTCTGGGCTGGAGGAGAGCCACAGATGCCATGCTGGGTTCAGGTTGGCTGTAGGAGAGGGGTTTTAATGCGGAGCGCTTGGAAAGACAGTGGCGGTGTGGAGTGTGGCCAGGGAGACGGGAGAGCCGCGAAGGGAGAGCCGCGAAGCGAGAGCGCGAGCCTGCAGACGCTGTGTGTTAGAGAAGCTAGCACAGGAGCGCCCTCTGCGTGCCAGGCAGCTGGGAGGCTCTTTCGTAAGCTTTTCATGCCTCCAACAAGATTTTCTGAGAACAGACACCCCAGGGGCGCAGTGCTCAGCCCCTGCAGCTCGGCTGGATCGTGCTGGTCTTGGACTCTCACAGCCTTGCCAACAAGTGGTCGGCCGTAGGCCGGGAGATAGGGGCACACTCGAGTTTTCTCGGAACCCTTACAGGTCAGCACGCCAGATAGTCTCCTCTTACAGACGGTAAATGAGACTCAACTGGGAGGTTACATAATTTGCTGGGGCTGCAAGTAAGCAACTGGTCAGGCTGGGGCTGGAGGGTAAATGCCTTTGACTCCAGGGCTTTGTGAGGGCCCGTGTGGTGTGGAGGTCTGAGCTCCAAGCAGGGAGAGGCCAGCAGACAGCCCCCTCCCCAAGAGGATCCTGGTTCCGGCTTAGGGGCTTCCAAACAAGCCAGGCCAGTTTGACTCTGCCTGGCACCGCCAGCCTGTGCTTCCTGCTGGGAGGGGCCTTGCCCTAAGGGATAGGGACCTGGGCTGGGGGAGGTCTCTGAGAGCTCCTGTAGCCTGGAGTGGCGGGAGTGGCGAAGCAAGGCAAAGCAAGAGTAGCGGGTGGGGGTTGGGGGTTGTATGTGGGCCCCTGGTGAGCTTGATAAGGAAGGGAAAGCCAGGAGGCGACTCCAGGCCTGTCACAATCCGGAGGGAAGGGCCCAGGCTGGGGTGCCTCTGCTGAGGGAGGGTGTGGCTGGACTTCGTTGAGAGAGTGATCCTAAGAACCTGCCTAGGACAGTCAGGAAGGGGTTCAGAGCCTCTCCTTCAGACTGCTTAGTTTTCATGTTTTTCATGGTAATGTCGCATGTGGGTGGAGGAAGGGGGGATTGTGGCCTTGGGGTTAGAGCAGGTCCTTCTGTGGGTGAGAGGGGACAGAACAGCCAAGGGGCCTTGCTGCTGCTTCTGAGATACGGAGCCCAGAGTGGGTGCCTGTTTACTGTTTGAGGGTAACCCACCTCCGTGGGCACTCAGGGTAGGGATGAGGAGGGAGAGTGGGGTATGGAAAGGCCGGTGGACCCGCCTTCCTGGGCCATACCTCCAGCTCTCCCTGTCCATTCCATGGCAATCCCAAGGGCCACTAAGGAAAGGCAGTGTTAGGGCTTGGCTGGGGGGCTGCTTCCAGGTGGGGAGTTGGCCTCTTGAGGAGATAGATGGAAGCCGCTGTGCAGACTTGTCCCGTGCAGACTTGTCCCATGCGTTCCAGACTGCGGCGGCGGCCTCAGGCTTCTTTCCCAGCAGCACCTGTGGGTGGGTGGGTTCTCTCAGTGAGTATCGGGAGGGGCCTCTCCAGTGCCTTGAGAACAGTAACTACCTGCCACGTAACACCCCCCCCCTCCCCCCCCGCCCAGAGGTGTTCCCATCACCACACTGGGGTCTGAGCTCCCTCGGCCTCTTCATCAGCCTGGGTACAGGCCCTTTAAGGAGGAGGAATGCCCGTGGCCTTTGTAGTACCCTCACCTGTGCTGCTTTGGAAGCTCATAAGATCTTGGTGAATTCTTGTTCCTGAAATGAATGAGAAGCGAGAGTAGGGTAGATGGCTGGGAAGGTGGAGTTCTGAGGCCTCCGTGGCCTGCCCCTCTGTGGACACCATGGTACTTTACTTGTGATGAGTGCTTGCTACACATTGACCCATTAAGTATGTGTTGGTACCTGTGCTGCCTGGAAGAGGCCTGCCTGCTGGTGCCGTTTTTCAGCCCTGCACATGAGGATCACCTGGGAGCTGGTAGAGGCTGGCACAGCCT